AAGCAGCAAGCATTTGATCTCCCTCTGCCCCTTTGATCCATCATTCAAGGCTCTAATTTGCAATACTGAAAAGGTCTGAACCCATCAAATGTGATCATGCTGGTAGGCGGGTGAACTGCAATAATCAGCAAAATCCTCACAGAAGACAAACACAATTTGTGGAGTCATGATCTGCGATGCCAGGCACAGCTGAAATTCCTGGGATTTCTCGAGAGCCAGAAAGGAAGACCAAGAACTCTGATACGAGCCAAAAGCATGCTGCTGCTTAGTGCAAGACTTCGACAAGCTGGACATCGCTGAAGGACAGAATAAGCTCGTGGGATTAACTCCCACTGTTTTATATCGGGTTCTGATCTCAGGATTGAGACTACCTGACAATAAATACATCAGTGCTGCTCAGGCAAACATAAATGTTAGAATATTCACACAGTATACTAAAATAAATAGCCAGACCCTAAGGACACTGAGGCCATTTATGCAAGTTCTTAAAAAAAATAACTCCAGTTCGTGTTGACTTACATTAAATCCATGTCCTTTTTGCTGTTCTACCAGTGTACCTTCCCTAATTCTCCACAATATTTATGTATTATATATCAGTATATATCAATATCACAGTATGATAGACTTTGACGACATATACCCTAAAGCAGGAATTGTTGCTTCTTTGTATGTTTCAACAGCTACAAATGGAGTCTCATTACTGATTACAACTCCTGGCAAACTACTGGGAAGCTTGTATTTTAAGTTTCGTTGCATTTATCGGCCAACAAACCCAGTTATATTTCCAAGACAAAAACTGTTTCTGTGGCTTGAAAATGGTAGATTCTATGATAAGTTACCTTCAACACTGAGTTTCGAGCTAGTATTTAAGAATTACCGTTTTATTCCTCCTGATGATCACTTTTCAGACAGAGCTTCACTTTTGAAGTATAATTAATGTATGTTAACTGCTTTAAAGTGGATGAAATCAAATGTGCATTTAGCAGATTTATGCAGTTCTGTGTCATAAGAACTTTGTGCCTTTAACAAAAAATTGCCGATTTTACTGCATGCAGTTCAGTGTACAAAAGTGCTTACCCTGAATTTCAAATATTCCAAACATGTATAATCAGCACCTGAATTTTTTTTATTGCAACATCAAAAAATGAAGCAAGTGTGATCTACAGACAATTCAAGTGTTGTATATTTGTGTCTACTGTCAAACACGTACATTCACAATTGACAAAATTTTAATACTAGGTTCACACTGTATTGTCTGCAGCAGCTCGGATAATTTATTCCTTTTACACAAAGCCAAATCAGAAATGGTCCCAGTGGTGCCTCTCCCTTCACTAGAAGACATTTTTTATTACTCACTGGCAGGTTTAGGTAAAGAGATGACTAACACCTTGTCCAAAAGCACGTTAAGTACTGAAGGCTGCTATTTGCTATAAACTTACGTCAAAGACTTAAAGAGATGAAGTTTGGATACAACAGGAGTTCAATTGGTTTGAAGCAGGTTCAGGAATTTCAACTACTATGTTGCACACAACAGCCCTTGATGTACACATTCTTGAAGAAAAAGGTGGATCCGTAGTTTGTGTACAGAGCTGATAGACCCACCACCACCTTCCCCCTCAAAAGAAATACTATGTTTTCAAAACTACATTCCCAAAGCTTAGGCGACATCGTAATCAATTGCTGCCCATGCAACTTTCCCTTAATGTGCTTCCACAAGGACAGTACATAAGTACATTTGCTCTTACATGAGAATGCATTTCTTCACCATATCATTCTCAACAGGCGACACAGGCTCAGTGCAGCAGCTTCTGGGTATTTTTATTTTGGGGTAGGGGAGCAGGTCACACTTTATCTGGCAGAAATGCTTGGGTTTCACAGTTTCTGCTGCCACTGGCAGCACTCGCAGGTAGGTGCAAGAGAAGCCATAACCAAACAGGAGCTACATACTCATATTTGGGTTTAAATCACTTGCTCAGCATCATATAGGAATAAGCAGAGTCAGTTCTCGTTTCTATTTTCCTTTAGCTGAGTGTGTAATTTGCTACCTTCATTTCACATTTAATAAAAACCAGCCTTTTGGCACTAAACAACATTGGAATCCCTGAGCACTATTTATCCCATGCATTAATCAAATAGAATTTCTGTACGGAAAAAGTGATCTAAAATTATCAAACTGCATATGCAAAGGGAGCTCAAATTTAGTTTAAGTAAACTTGTTTCAGGTATGCCTTAATTCCTGAATATTTTGACTGTAACCATAGCATCATTCAAGATATTATGAACACTAAATGTTTACCTGGGCTCAGAAACCAACAGGGATACTTCACAGAAGGAAAATCCACGAGGTCCTGTTAAATTAAACACCATCACCCCGACTCTGGATCTCTCTGACCTACGAACCATTAAAGGCTGGAAGAAGTATTTTGGGGAGGTATCACTATGCTTCTGTGTTGTTTTTCTACTCTTCGCAAGGCATCTGCTATTGACCACCACTGGTGAGAGGACACCAGATACATTATCTTTGGTCTGACCCAGTATCACATTATCTCTCTCCAAATGGCATCAATCAGAGTGGCAACGCTGGTAATATCTTGCTTTTTGGCAAGTGGTTTACAATCACCCCAACAATAAATGTGATTAAAAATGTCATACATAATCCTAATGATTTATGACATAAGAAATTCTAAAGGTTGACAGTACTCTCCCAATGTAAAAATGTGGGGGAACTTTTTAAGGATGTAAATCAAGGATTTCTGAGTGTTATTTCTCTCATTCACCTCCTTTATTTACTTTCTAACTACAAATAAATCTTACATATTTTTATTACAGTAATATCTAAAAGCAGTCATTAGGGTCTTGTTATGCTAAAATGCTACATAAATACATAAAAGACGTCATCTTTGCCTCAAAAGCACTTATTGTAGGCCAAGATAAAGTACATTAACAGCAAAACGGAGCACTCAATAACCTGAATTACTTCAGAGGTAGTTTAGAAAAGGTCATCTGAGCTCCACAACGATTTTGAGAAAAAAAGTGAATAAGGAAATAAGCACAACTGATGGCTGAGAGTCCTCCTTTAAATGCCCCAGTGTAACCAACTACCATCACTCAGAAACTGAATCCCCAAACAGTTTGATTCCATCAAATGGGTTTAGCACTTCATCTTGTGAGTGTATTCAAACAGCCCCCCCGCATACAGTAACTCATTCTTCTGACCGAAGCGAAAATACAAACAACTAAACATGTGGCCATCTTACACAATATTTGCAGAACAAGGAGGAGACACCAAGAACTAAGAGCAGACAATTCAATCATTCAAATGCAAACCCAAACCGGAACAGAACAAAAAAAAAACCAAAGCCAAGGAAAACCAATAAGAAAAACTGCAAGTTATAAACCACACCTTGGATTCAGTACAAGTCGACAGACCATAACTTTTCTAACACTAGTCTTTTGACATGCTTAAGCCAATGTAATAAAAAGTATCTCAATATTACAAAGAATTCCCTCCTACAAAAAAAAACACCACCAAACCCTACTCCTAGCCAGACACAAAGTATACACATTTGACAACATTTGATGCTGAAATGCCATTCAAATTAAAGTCAAATATTAGAAAAAACAGACATCTCAGTGTTACAGAGTCTGAAAAATTACTTTCAAGACGACATTTTGAAAACCCACTAGCATTAGTCTTACGTTTAGGAATAGCTTTTTAAGAAAGGCAGGGGCATGAGACTCTTTCCAGTCCATCTACTATCTCTGCCATTACCACTTACAAGTCTCCAGCCCAGTCCCAGCACTATTTAATCTGCGTGCATCAGAGGTAATCCTTCTACTAACACAACTGAGATTTGTCTATATATTCTGTATTATCTGTGTCTGGTTTCCCAGGTTCACAGGCTCTTGCTAACATTGGCACTTATTTGTGCTACTACATTAATGGCATTTTTGAAACATCTCTTTCTTTAATAAAAGTAGAAAAGAGGATTTTTATTAAACACTACTTGACATTGTATGAGTCTCATGCTGTCATGTACCTTTCTGGGAATTTCAGTAATGTAAGCCCAAAGGATTTAGCAGAAAAGAAGGGAGCGGGCTAGGAACACACAGCCTCAAGAGAGCTCTGCTCAAGATGCTGGGGAATTGCACTTGCACACACCTATGTTAGAATAAGATTTTCTGGAACGGTCTCCTTCAGTGGCTGTAAAGGAAGCCTGCTCAGACTAGTTCAGACCTGAAATAAAATCTTTAGATTCCTAAAGGCATCTGATGTCCTATCTGACATGAGCATGTTGCCCATTTCACAAAAAAATACTAATCAAAGGGCAACATTTTTATTTACTACTCTGAACTGTGTAAAAAAACAAAACAAAACAAAACACTTTTACTACAGCAACTGCAGTCTGAGAAGCACCCTTAGAAATTTTAACTGTACTTAAGACATCATTGGACTGACTAACACGTAACTGGTAGATAATATCAGTGAACTAACCATGTTTTACTCTTTCCAAAGAATTTATAAATCTTTCACAAGAAAGATTTTTTTCATTAGAAAAATTGAATAAAGTACAATACCAGAAGACTATTTTTCTGACTGCTTAGTCTAGGCAATTAAAATCAAATAACAAAAGATTTGGAAATTTGCTACAAACTTTCCAATCAAGAGGAAAGAATTCAAACTAAAAGATACAGACAATGAACCTACAAAAAAGAGTTCAGAAATAAAAAAAAAAAATAATCTAAAATAACATTCTAAAGAACATTACATTTCTAAAGCTCTCCATCATTTAAATAAAAATATTAATAATTTAAGCTTTTGGTCACAGCAGACAATCAGTTTATGAAGTAATTTTTCAATTTTATTATATTCTACCCAAGAAATATAACAATAAAGACTACTTTTTATTTTTAATCTACCAATTTCTTGAAAATTAAAACTGAAAAGCTGCAGTCATAAGGAATTTCTTAAGTGTTTCAAAGAAAGTGTCCACACTCACCAGTGCTGCTGCTTTCAGATTTTTCTTCTGGTTGGCTTTCTGGAAAAAAAAACAAATGAACAAAAAAGGAAACGTAATGTTTCTGTGTTGATTATTTGAAATGATATCTAAAAAGTGGTTTGCAAAGCAAAGAATGATAAATTATGATAAAAATCACAACCACTGGGTTTGATTAATGTTTATAAATTTACTTTCTGAAGAACAATTTGCCCCAGGGAGCAACAAAAAAATATCTCCTTTAGTGCCCAAACTCACAACTTAAATGAGAGAACTCCATTAGACTTCTGATTAAGCTCTGCAGGAACGAAGTTACACATTTATACAAAATCGGTAGTAGGATTATATTTAAGCAATGAATAGTATCCGTTTATCTCACTGGTCACTCTAGACAAATGAATATTATTTTTGTATATTTAAAAAAAAGAAATCAAGATTCTGCAAAAGAATGCTGTTAATTGGCATTAGGTAGATTTTTGAACTTGATCAACAACTTCTCTACCCTTTCTGCAGATCACGCAAGAATTTATTTCTTCAATCTTTTCCCTTTCTGATCATTGGCCCTCACCTCAAATGGTACTATAGCCCAACTCATTAGGTACAAAAAATACACATAATCAGAGACATCTCCTGTTCCACAGATCACAGAATCAAAGTATGTATGAAGGAAAAACCTAGACACAAGTGTTGCAAAGTGACTTGCCAAGAAATTATCATTTGGGTAAATGGCAGAGTCAGATTCAGAAACAGCTTTCTGCGTGAAATTCCAATCCCACATTTCAAGAGATGTCAGTCGGCGGATGTATTTTGGTAAACCGAGTTCTAACACTTACGAAGTCCTATGAAATTAAACCCCTACATAAATTTTTCAACCTGAAATTTGACTGCTCCTCCTATATTTCTCCTTTTTATGCATCTTCTAAGGTAGAGAATAAAAAGAATATTTGCACTTATCCGAAATACAGTTAAATATGGTAAAATATACTTGTCCTTAGCTTTCAACTCAGACATGTCACAGCTATTGTTACAGACTATTTACTTACAGGTGAGACTGAATTACTGCTCTAACTCAGAGAGTAATTTTTGGTGAGTTCAGTTAGTTTGATCATTTCTGCCGTTTACTGGCTGCGTATTAACAGAACTGAAAACATGAAATATTTTACGAAGCCTTTTTCTTGCTACTGATTCTTGCTGGCTTTCATGGCTGATGGCCCTGTGTACTCATTGAGACGGCTGACAGCCTGAGGACTAATGCAAATGGAAAAAGCAGTATCTCACAGATCATTCTTTCTTTATTGGTGGCTGTCCTCAGTCTTAGCAGCTGAAGGCATGTGCTTTCTCACTGAGAAAACATCATTATATGGCTTCTTCCCACCCGTGAGCATTCCCAAAGCAAGTTAAGATCCCTACCAACTTTCAGATATACATGCAAGATAGCCCGTTTGCAGAAAAACATGTATTTTCTCATTGACATTTTTTGTGTGTATTTAGCACATTTACAGTATAATGTTATTACCCAACCAATACCTAACTCAGTTCTAACTTAATTAAGGAAACATTCAGTACACACACGAGAAGCAAAGAGGACGTAATGAAGAATGCGCAAACATACTAAGATATCAACCCTGGCCTGGACTGAGATGTAAGAAGCAGCTGGATTTAAAGCTGTTTCTTTTTAACTCTGTTTCAATGAAAAGACTAGCTACCTAAACAAAACTACTGCATGAGACACCACGCTTAAAGATTCTTAATGGCATCTCTGATTCAAATAACAATAAATGTGTGTGTTTGCTTGTATGTAGCAACAGAATCTGCCCTCAACAGCAGAGACAAAAAACCAGATAAAATTCAAGCCTTGCAAAAAGTGGTTTGTTTTTTCTCATGATTAGACAATTTGGTTTTGTTATGATTAGGTCACAAGTGTCTGCTTCAAATATCTTCTCAATACTAATATCATGAAGAAGATAAAGGAAGTTGTACTATGTCTACTCAATGTATTTTATCAATGCAGACTGTGGCTGCTGAGCCTCCTCCACTACATGCAAGATTCACAGATAAATGTCAACAGGTTGGGATTGGTTGGTGGGTTGGTTGGTTGGGGGGGTTTTTGTGTCTTTTTTTAGGGGGGGAGGTTGGTTGGTTTTGGTTGGTTGGTTTACACATATATCAGTGAGACTGAAAAAAACAAAGAAATTTAAAGGCACTGAAGTAGGCAGAAAGCCAATTCTATTTCAATCAAACTGAGCCCATTCTAACATCTCATATATTTTGTGCATTATATCCTCAATTGTTTAAATTAGTACAGGAATTAACAGTCTATAGTTTTAGTAACAAAAATGAAAAGAAAATTAGGAGCGTACCCTTGCCAGCCAGCTGAACCCACTTTATAGTAATTTGTTAATCCTCACAATACTCATATGAAGTAAGTAAATAAATATAATTTCAATTTTTTAGAGATGGAGAAGAGACATGATGTAAGCAAAGTTGTTTTCTAAATGGACCATATATCACAATAATACATGTGAAATCTTCATCAAAATGCTGTCTGTAATTAGACAGCTTGAGTCACATATTCTGCTTTTCTGATCATGGGTTGCATTCTTTATGATCCTCACAAATATTTGGAAATTTGCATAAATGCCAGAGATCTGAAAGGCTGCTGTTGCTTCTATTTCTTTTGATTGTGAGGCTGCTGATAGGTTTTCCTCTTCTGCTAACAGCAGTACATAAAAGATTGAACTACATAAAGGAACAAAGAAGCATTAAGTAAGACCCCAAAGCATTCTGGAGACTGGAATGTGTGGTTAAGTGACAGCCTGAACAAATAGAGACAATTGGAAAGTACTGTTAAAGTAGACAGGTATATGTCAAAACTCCTCAGCAGGCAGAGCTAAGACGGCAGAATGATGGAGGGCATTTATTTCCTAAATAAGAGTTTGACAAAAAATTTAAGTCGTCAAACATTCATCTAATAAGATTAGAAGTAGTATCACAAGGCGTCAAGATTCTGAGCACTATGTATTTTACTGGAAATAATTAAATGTAATTATAGGAGTAACTGCTTTAATGAAAGAAAGAAACATCTTTCCAGGGTTTTTATTCATGTTTCTTCCCTTTACATTTCTTTAAATGGCTGGATATATCTGATATTTCAAAATACAAATATACAAAATACAGAATACAAACCTCTGAATATTCATTTTCACTGGAATACAATCACGCATTGTAAGTTATACAGCAGGCGTGATTCATGTACAAATTCAGAAAAGGTCCTTTCATATATGAGAAGCTGTGTAAAGGAAAACAAACCCAACCCAAAACAAGGGGAGAATATTCAAGGGGTGTGGGAATAAAGGAGCTGTTCTAAGGTAGATAGGCAGAGTTATGTGTATTATTGAACAGGAATAAAAAAAAAAAAAAAAAAGAATTTAATGAATTGAGATTCTGCCAGAAGAGAAGACTCAGAAAACTGGAGAAGAATGCAATGTTAAGAGCCAGCAATCTTCTGTGAAGCATGAAACAGCGAAACAATCCATGCATGAATGCTGCTCAGAAACAAAGGTCTGGTAGTCATTCTGTCAATGGAATTCTCTAAACACTTTTTACTTTCAGTAAGATGGAACGAGCATGAAGGAATTTAAAGTCACTAAAATAGGCATTAAGGCAATCCCACTTATGAAGGGGGAGTTGTGAAGACAGATTCAAAATTTCAATAAAATGAGTCATCCCACCCAACTTTACAGAAATATCTTATACTTTATTTGTGCCTACAGTGTAAAATCTTCCTCTCCACCCATCAGTCCTTTACAGTTAGGGATGCAATTGCCTGCCAAGGTCTGTGTTTTCCCAAGTCACATTAGTAGCACATTTTTCCAAGAACTAGCTCAGTAAGAAACTTTTATCATTATCTATAACATAGCTGCATTTTTTATTTATATTTAGAGCCAGCAATCCTAAACTACCTGCTGACAGAAAAATTAAGCAACAGGCAATTAAAGCAGTAAGGGAATTAATTTATAATTACAATCAGAAAAGTTTGCTGTTAAATGTTTAACAAAAGTATGTTCCCATTCCTTCAACCAAGAAAGAAACTGTCAAATTATAGCACTTCCTTATGCCAGGGTGTCTGCCAGTAGGAAGCTCAGAAAAAAACAATTTTAACCAAACACACTCTATATCAAGCCCATGACTTGCCCCTGGATAGTTCTTAGCTATACACACATAAGAAAAATTCATTTTGTTCAATACAACACATTGAAATATATGCAAAATGCTCTCATTGCCTCCCGCCCAAAAAATTACAGCTATGATAGCTGATGACAAAGATGAGATAAAATGACTGGAAGCACAAATAGCATTGTTGCATAGCAACTGTTGATGTACATATGGTGATGTTTATGGAACAGAATGTAGTTCATATTTAATGCAGAAATAATACTGAAACCAGCCGAGACCGCAAGACCTAGACAGCAAGAGACAATTGTGCTTTGGATCCCTCTGCAGTCATCACAGAAGCCACACTTCCCGCCAGCTTTGCTAAACTGGTGTTCAGGAATACCACCGCAGGTCTTACTAATTTACCCAGCAAGGAAGGCGACGTAATGTCTCACATGTGCAAACAGCCTTACAAAAGAAGTAGGGAGGTATTTTGCAACTAGAACTTTCGCAGTGCATTGTACTACTCTGTATTATTCATTAGAACTATTTAAAAATACAGAAACGGGTAAAGAAAAGGAACAGGAGAAACCCCAGAGTTAGTCTAAACAGAAAGCACACCATGTGTGAAAGCCAGCATAGACCAGATTTTTAATAGCATCTGGGATGGGATCCACTTTATCCAGCTTTATATCAGAATAGAGTTTAATTTGTGTTTGAATTTATGTATTAGCTGTATCCAACACAGAGAAGAGAAGAGAAGAGAAGAGAAGAGAAGAGAAGAGAAGAGAAGAGAAGAGAAGAGAAGAGAAGAGAAGAGAAGAGAAGAGAAGAGAAGAGAGAATAGTTCAGTTGGAAGGGACCTACATCGATCACCGAGTCCAGCTGCCGGACCACTTCAGGGTTGACCAAAAGTTAACGCATGTTGTTAAGGGCATTGTCCAAATGCCTCTTAAACACCGACAAGTTTGGGGCATCAACCCCCTCTCTAGGGAGCCTGTTCCAGTGTGTGACCGCCCTCTCAGTAAAGAAATGCTTCCTAATGTCCAGTCTAAACCTTCCCTGGCGCAGCTTTGAGCCATTCCCAGGCGCCCTGTCACTTGATATCAGGAGAAGAGACCAGCACCACCCTCTCCGCTCCCCCTCCTCAGGCAGCTGTAGGGAGCAATGAGGTCGCCCCCCAGCTCCTTTTCTCCAAACTAGACAACCCCAAATTTTATGTTAGCTCAGGTCTAGTACACACATGGCAGAAGACCAAGAAACTGTAATTCATTAGACTTTGGACATAACAAATGGCACCTCAGAAGAGCCTACTGCTATCCATTAATACGGGACCACCAGAAATGCAGAGGTTTACAATGTAAGAACTAAAGGATTTCTTTCAACTATAACAGGTATTAGAAGCAAGTTTAGTTAAGACAAAACAAAACCCACAGAAAATCCATTCAGAAGTCTAGAAATTACATCATGCAGAAAATATTAAATTACTTGTCAAGTTTGATGTCTTTTGCTTGCTCTAAGTGACCTGACGAGTCAATGTGAAGTGCTGAATTATCCAGAATATGTAAACTCCCTGCAGCATCTTCCAAGATTACAAAATATTTTGGAGGCAGTTTTGTCATTCCTCATTCATTTTCTGAAAGACCATCAAAAAGATGGTCACTACAACATAAGATCCCAAGATTAGAGGACAGCACACAGAACAGATCTTAGGGCTTTTAATGTGCTCCAGAAAAATAATAAAACTAAAAAAAAAAAACCCACACAAAACCCCACAACAAAACCCACTCTTTATAAAAAAAACCCCATTGTTTATTATGCAATTTGTTCCACTTTAGGTAAGTCCAGTTCTCAAGAAAGGTATTGACTGGGAGTAATAGTGCATAAAGCACTTTTTTATTCATATTTCATTTGCGTAATTCCTTAAACGCACCCTTCCAGATGTAACATCAGAAATGCCATCTGCAGTTCTATAGCAGCTTAATCTTTTGCCCACAGTTCAAACTGGCATATTGACTCTGTTCCATGGTGCACTTTGCAAAAGAAAAAGGAAGAAGACCAATGCTTTTCACAAAAATATGCTGATTATAATTTGAAGACAAATACTGGTCTGTGACCATAAGAATGAATGAATTTCAATTTCCTGTGACTGTGTCTTACTGCAGACTGACAGATATGCAAAGATGTGTAAGATTTATTGAGTCTTTTTCCATGGTTGATATAATTATAGTGGTTTTTTTCCATGTGGGCTTTCTGGCATCAAGTAGGGTAGCAGCCTTTCTTTCAGTTGGGGTATCCATATAGTTTCATTCCACTCTTCAGACACCTGTTTTCACACTAGCCATAATTCACCATGAAATTTGTTGAAATTGGCCCTGGAGCTCAAAACATATTGGCAATACACATTCAAACACAAGACTGTGGCTGCAGGAACATGGTGTCCGTAAGAAATCTGCCTGAAATTTGGAATATTTGCGTCGCATTCATCTTTACAACCAAAAAAAGTCATGCAAGAAAAGCACATTAAAGTTTATTTTTGATTGTACTGCCAACGCTAGCTTTAACACAAAAGCAACACGTTTTAGCCATTTTGCATTTAAGCGAGTTTCATGAAAACTCACTGACTGCATGTTATGCTTGCTAATCTCAAGCAAAAACAATTTTGACAGGGTCTATGCTTATTCAGTGCTTCACTCCAAACATTTCTCATCTCACTAACTACCCTTTGCTCCCGATTAATATAATAACTTCTACTCAATAGATCCATGGTCCTTGAATAACATTTTGTAGTTGTTAAGAAATGCCAAATTTTTAACTGATTAAATAAAAATAGGACAGTTTCTAAGTACCTAAAGGTTTCAAGACACTGGTATTACAGATGGTAAAACAGAAATAAATGGGCATCTTCTAGCTATTACATTCTAATGAATTCCATTCTAACTGATGACAAATACTCCACATTCAAGTTAAGCATCTGCACTCACTGCAGCCTAAGTTACCACTGGAGGTTTCTGAAGCAGCATTTTGTATAAAAAGGTGTCTCAGGAAGCAAAATCCCATGGGATTTGCAGCAAACATACAAAAACCACTGAACGTATATTCTAAACACATCTTCACATCTGAAATCTCTCTCTTCTGTCAAGCATTCTGAGGTCGAGGCACAGAGAAAACGAAAGAGGAGGAGGTACTACTAAAATGCTTACAACATCCTTGAAAACTTGCTCCCTATCTCTTTCCACATTTGTGGAAATCTATGGATTATAAAAAACAGTATTTTTAAAGTGTTGCAAGTCACACATATGAAAATACAATAGTTTTTTTTTAAGTGAAAAACCAATATCATGACTACATTACTTTCAGAGAAAGGGATAATAACTGAAAAGTGCCTGAGTTGTACTGTAAGAGCTTGTATTTCTAAATACAAGGATGACAGTCAAGCTACTTGTACCTTAATATCGAAATGCTCAGCCATTAAATCTTTAAATAGATTTTAAAAAGGAGGTGGTCAAACTTTCTAAGTATTCTAACTCTGTCCTGTGAGTTAGGATTCTCCCCCTCTCATTTATTTGATAAAGCATCACACTGCCATCACAACAATTACTTGCCAGCCTATGAACATCCAAATGTCAGAAGCTGGTCATACTGTAGTTTTCTGCCCCACAGAAGGTAGAGGTATCAAAAAAGTATTACTATTATTTGTCTTCCGGTGACACCAAAACCGAAGTGCCTGAAACTGAGATACCTTCTGCAGACAATGAGATATGCTCTGCAGACACCTTCCTTCCCTCTCTAACATCCAGAACATGACTATGTAATCTCAGTAGAAAACCTTACAGCACATGGATAGGAGTGACATGCAAGGCAGTCTGCTGAACTTACTGTACAGTGTAACACTACCACGTACCTTAAGTCTAACATGCAATTTAGGACATATGATCTTGAATATCCTTATCACTCATACAGCTACTGAGCTGAACTTAAGGCAGGCCAAACAGCTGAAATCCAGTGAGAAAAATTATTACCTTACTGCTGCACTGTTTGGTATTATGACCTTATTAAGTTTTAATACACTTAAACCATATATATACTTCAAGAAAATGTGGTGAACACATGTGTTTATTGCTAGAATGGATCTGTTCAACTGGACAGAGGAAGAATCAGCATTCTTATAAAACTATATTCACAGCAGAGACCAATCCAAGGAGAAAAAAATATATTAGTTGATTCTAAAAGTCCATGGGAACATAAAAACATTTTTTCCAGTGAAAACCCTGAAAAGGAATGCACAATGTACTGCACTCCACGCTCTCTCTGTTCTCTTCAGCAGACCCACTGCTGAAATGTACATGATAAACCTATGTGGAGAACATAAATTAGTTGCTCAATCATATGAAGAAAAGAGACAGACACAAAAAAAGAAGTGATATGTATGCAGATAACAACAAAACAGAGCTAAAATCTGACTTTTGAGTCTCCTGGCCTTTACAACAGCCAGTTTATTGAAATCGTGCATACTGGAATTGTAATAAATAACTTTAATTCTAACTTACCTACTGAACTTTCTGTGAACACTGTTAAGGTCTGTCCTCCCACACTTTGCAAAAGAAATGGATGTTCCCTTGGTGCACTGACTGAAGCAGGTTTTCCTCCAATATCATTGATGCTTGCAAGCTCTTCATTCAAAGTAAATGACACCTAACAGTCACAATTACCACAGTGTTACTAAACAGACTCAATTACACAGCTTTAAGAGTTATGGGGAAACAAAAAAAGAGAAAAAACAAGTAGTATAGCACATTTCCATTTCAAAAACATAAAGAGTGGGATAAGAGTCTTAATATATTGATCCCTTGTTGAAATACAGAATTCAAAGCTTTCATGTACTTAATAAAATTTACTAATCTTTTGAAAATTGTAAATTACTTCCTCCTGAAGTCAGAGAACAATTTGATTTTACTTATTAAAATGTAAGGCATAATAGGTTTTCAGACACTGTTCAGTATGAGTGCTTTAAAATGTTTCACACAGCCAGCTGAGTTCCAGAAAAAGTGCTAATGTACCACGACAAGTGTTATTAGCCTGGGGACTCCTGAACTGCATGCAGCCCAGGAGAGGTTCAAATACAGGTCCTTTGCTATGTTTACATTGTATACCCAATACAGGAGCTGAGGAGGTACTGGGGGAACTGGGTAAGCAGAATCCCTAGCCGCAGGTCACAGCAAGAAACCTGAAAAGGGACTGTTCAGACCTGCACTGCATACTTTTCCTGTACGCCCTGCTTAGCCTCATTCTGCCACACAGCAACAGGGTCCCCGGAAAGCCACTCGTTCCCATGGGGTTCCTCACCGCTTGGCTCTACACAGTTGCAAAATGCACTTTGTGGTTCTCATCAATATCGAGATTTTGGTGTGGAGCTCACAAAATTAGCGAGGTTGGTTCGTATTCCAGCCTAGAAGAATCCAATCAAACATCGAAACCTCCAGTAGAACTCTCTCCACTTATTCTAAAAGGAGTTTGGCCAGGTTACCAAATGGCAAATGCAGCTTGCTTCTCTGTCATTTTCTTCGTCCAGAGTTTCTTCCAATTCAGTGATAGACCTACATGGTATTTGAAGTAATTCTAACTAATGCAACTTTCCTTATCTCTTGTAAAAGATACAGGAAGTTACTAGCATTCACTAAGGCTACTAATAAATGGAGTTACCTTTGCATACAGAAAAACCTTCAAGTTGCTTTATATTAAGTAGGACCAAATTCCGAGTTTAAGACAGAATACTTTCTGAAATTGCAACCCTCCATCTCCAACTTCTTTTGCTTTATCATCATCCTCCTTAGTTCTCAAACAGCCTTTTGCACTAACACATCTCAAAATGTTTAGAGAGAAGATCGCTACAGATGCTGCTTACAGATGCATAAACAAACTTAGGGAACAAAGAGACTTGATGAAAGTTCCACAGTAAACCTTTGGGCAGAGCTACGAACAGAATTCATTCCTCCTAGTTCTGTGGTACAATGCTTCATTACAGGCATAACAAAAAATATATGACATTAGAAACCAGCACGTTATACAAAATTTTTAGAATTTAAAATGTAACACATTCATAGCCTTTGTATTTAGTAATTACTTACTTCTGTTCTTCCTTGATTTCTGCAAAAGAAAATATTTAATGTTTTAGTTTCCACAATCTAATTCCACAAGTTTAGCTTCCCTGATAAAAAAGCAAATTAAAATTCTAGTTTTGTTACTCATCTTCACTCCTAACCTGCTCAATTTTTTTTTTATGCTGATGCCCAAGAACAAATGCGTAAAGTCAGCAGGTGAGAACAGAAGCAGCAAATAGCACATAAGTAAGTTAAAGAACATTCTCCAGTTAGATGTGCATATTTCTTGGGTTTAAGAAATCAAACATCATGTAATGGGATACAGCCACTCCCCGGTATAATTTCATATCGTTTATGTATTGATAATCACTACACAAGCAAGTACCTTTCAGGTTTCAGAGAAATATGCACAGTGTTTGCAAGAAACAGGATTACGTATTATAAGAGGTGCAACAATCTATTTTACTGCAGGCAACTTCTAAGAATTACATCCAATAAAGGTACAATAAAGGCTTACTTGGCAATCCTTAGTTTTCCCACTTCACCCCTTCCTGAAGCTTTATTCCACTGTTGTGACAAGTATTTGGGGACCTAAAAAAAGACAACAGATTTTGAGAAAAGCAGACTTTAAAATTCTATATAAATTATGTACCTGTATATACTTTAAATGCATTTACCCTGACCACTTCAGAATACACTATGATCTAAATATAATAGACAATATATTCTATTAGGGAGAGCAAAGAGAACAATGCAGCATAAAAATAAGTCCACTGGAGAGTCCCAAATTTCCCAAATGAGGGAAAAATCTTATAATACCTTTAATCTCAAATACTATTATCCAATCATGAAAGGTAAAAAAAGATCAGTATCATAAACTAAGGAGTCCAAATAACATTATCAAGTAATACTATACTTTTAAATATTCATCAGAATTTCTCATCTCTCTACAAAGAAAAAAAAAAAACCCCAAACCAAAGAAACAAAAAACCAAGGATGAGAAGTTAGGCAATAACAACTCAGAGACCAAAAGGTGCTTTGAAGAGGAGGCTTAGCGTTTGGGAACCTCAGATATTCAGCAGCAAACCATAGCCAGATCCCACCAGATGTCCACTTCTTCAACAGCAGAACCACCCTATGCAGATCTGCCTCCCATCACTCATTCCCACCCCTCCACTCTACTGAGAAAGGTCTTTGTGCAGCTGGT